ATGGTCAATACCATTAACCTGAAATTCTTCTCCTTCCTCTACTCTTACGATCCATAGATTTGGTCTTTTCATGGTATCCCACATCTCTTACATATTCCATTCCTGTGTTTTTTTAAATTTTCCATTATCTTTGCTTGAGTGGTCCAATTCTTCAACTTTATCCTCCAGTGTTGATATTTTATTTTCTATTTCATTCATTCTAGTGGTGAGGCTTTCCCGTTGTTTCAAGTTGGCTTATTGAGTTTGCACTTCCTTCTTCATTTCTGTCTGAGTTTCTTCAATGTTTCTATCTCTTCTGTGAATTCATTCAGAAGTTTATCCCTATCTTCTTTTAGTTCTTTGATTTGTTCATGTGTTCTTTAAATTCGTTGAACTCCTTGATCATGTTTATGATTGCTTTTTTAAATTCACTGTCCTGTGTTATCACAGGGGGTTCTCCTTGTAGAACTCTTCCAGATGATTGGTAGAATTTGGTGGGGACATAGTGTTTTGGCTATTTTATTATTCTTTTGTTGTGGTTTTGGCATGTGAATTTCTTTTGCTGTTACCTTTAACTTTTTACATCTTGGTAGACTGGCGTGGCATATTTGCACAGTGATTTGAACGAGTTATTTAAATTCAAGTTGAAAAGCATAGACCCACAACTGAAGACAGTCTTGTATACTGTTATATTGTATATCATTCTGACTTTGAAATAAGAATTCTTCCTTTCTGATCTTACTACTGAATCCCTAGGTTTGATAGCCTCAGGCTTCTTTCAGCACTGGAGGCAGGATCTGGGCGCTCTCAGGCAGTCCACCCTCTCAGGTTGTCTGATAGGATCTCAGCCTTAGCCTACCAAAGCCAGATCTGCCCTGGGGCCTTAGGAGGGGACTCACAAAATCCCAGGTCGGGGGATGGGTATGGGGCAATTAGGGGAAGCTCACCACCACATGGAGGCAGGATCTGGGGGCTCTCCCTGACAGTCCCCTGCGTTCTCAGCCCCTCTGTCAGAGAGGCCAGAACTTGGCACTCTTTGGCAGTCTGCTGAGATCAGAGCCACTACACTGATGGAGGGCAGAACCCACCCTCTCAGGCTGTCTCACCTTATTGGTTTTTCTTTTGGTCTTCTTGAGACAGGGTCTCCCTGTAGCCCCAGCTGTCCTGGAACTCACTATGTAGACTAGGCTGGCCTTGAACTCACAGAGATCCTCCAGCCTCTGCCTCCGGAGTGCTGGGATTAAAGGCGTGTGCCACCACGCCTGACACCTTACTGGTTTTTTTAACTCTGCCGTGTAGATGTTCTCCTTTCCAGTGATTCTGTGTTTTGGTTCTGGCTCAGCCATGGTCCAGGAGCTAATCATTGGGAGGAGTAATGGTTAGGACTGTTATGGTCTATGTAGTCACCACTTCTCTCTTGCTGTGCTAAAACACCAGGCCAGTGGCGACTTGTAGAAGCAAGAGTTTATTTGGCTAACAATTCCAGAGGGATGAGTCCATCATGGTGTTGGGAGGTGGAAGGGGAACAGCATGATGGTAGAGGCAGCTGGAGCAGAGAGCTGAGTACTCACATCTTTAAGCATATACAGGAAGCAGAGACATGGTACCCTACATACTCTCTAAGCCCGCCCCCAGGGATATGCTTCCTTCAGCACAGTCATACCTACAGGTTCTAGGACCCTCCCCAAACAGCTCCAACAACTGACCAAGCATAGAAATACTTGGAGCCTACAGGGGACATTTTCTTGAATGTTATGTCCACCAGGAACAACAGCTCCTCAGTGTCTGAGATCTGGGAGGTGTACTTTTGACCTGTGGCAGGTTGTAGCTCTGAAACTCCCTGTGCCTTGACCTCTCATTGCATATCTATAAATGTTTCCCCTTTTTGGAACAGAACAAGTTAATACTTATTCATTGATTTCATAATCAGGATCTTTGTTGTGTCTGGTTTGTAGAGAGAGAAAAAAATCACATCTATAAAAGAAAGCTCCCAAATTAGGTGACTTGCAAATATTAACTTCTAAGCCCGGTGTGGCAGTGCATGCACGCTATCACAAGTTTGACTGCACAGTGAGATCCTGCCTCAGAAAACAACAAAAAGTAACCGCTTGAAGAAGCTAGATTTCAAACGGGAAGGAAACTGCTGGCTCAGAGGCGGCATTCAAAATCCAGAAATCTCGTAGTTCATCTTGAGCATTTCACATGGATTTAGTAACTTTGGTTTAAGGAAAGAAACACTTTACTAAGCCTTCTCTCAGCTTTCTCAGTGTTAAGTATAACACAAACCATGTTAGGAACTGAATGTTGTGTCCCTCTGTAATTTATATGCTGAAGTGTAATCCCCACTGTCATTGTTTTTTGAGGTAAGAACCTGTGGGAGCGAATCACACCCTGAGGGCGAGCAAGCACCCTGCCCTTATGAAACAGGCTCAGCACCCAGCCTAATCCTTTCTGCCCCTGAGGAGACTGTGGGAAAGTAGCCTGAAGCACCCTGCCCTTATGAAACAGGCTCAGCACCCAGCCTAATCCTTTCTGCCCCTGAGGAGACTGTGGGAAAGTAGCCTGAAGCACCCTGCCCTTATGAAACAGGCTCAGCACCCAGCCTAATCCTTTCTGCCCCTGAGGAGACTGTGGGAAAGTAGCCTGAAGCACCCTGCCCTTATGAAACAGGCTCAGCACCCAGCCTAATCCTTTCTGCCCCTGAGGAGACTGTGGGAAAGTAGCCTGAAGCACCCTGCCCTTATGAAACAGGCTCAGCACCCAGCCTAATCCTTTCTGCCCCTGAGGAGACTGTGGGAAAGTAGCCTGAAGCCAACCTTGGGCAGAAACTAGCCATGCTGGCAGCCTGATTTTCGAAATGTAGCTCCCAGCACTGTGAGAAACACATTTCTATTGTTAAGCCACGCACTTAATGGTATTTCATCACGGCAGCTCAAGCTAAGACATAACTACTCTACATAACTTTTGGGGGCCTGGGGATCAAAACCACAACCTTGAACACATGATATACACTCTACCACTCTAAGTCATACCCCCAGCCATGATAGTAAATTTTTTTACATTTTATTTATTTTTAAGTGTATTAGTATTTTGCCTGTAGGGATCTTTTTGAGACAGGGTCTCCCTGTAGCCCCATCTGGCTTAGAACTCACTAGGTAGACCAGGCTGGCCTCGAACTCAGAGATTGGCAGATCGGCCTGCCTCTGCCTCCCAAGTGCTGGGATTAAAAGCATGCACCACCACGCATGGCACGCCTATAGGGATCTTAAGTGTACCACATGTGTACACGGCCTGCCTAGGCCAGAAGAGGGCATCAGATCCCCTGGAACTGGAGTTCCATATGTTGTTGGCCACCATGTGGGAACTAAATGGTCTTTTGTAAAGTCAGTGCTCTCAAATGCTGAGCCAACCCTCCAGAAATAGTAATTTAAAAACTGTATTTACTCATTTGCATTTTTCTTTTTCTTGAGACAGGGCGTGGATAAGTCACCCAGGTGAGCTTCGGATTCACAACCCTCCTGCCTCAGTTTTACTCCCACCAGTGTTGGGATTATAGGATGGGCCACGCTGTCTAGCTTTTTAAAAATTAAGCATATTTTGGGAGCTGCATCTTTTATAATATGTAAATGAATAAATGTAAAGTAAGGTGTTTTCCTGAGGTCTGTGCTCCATTCTACCACATGATTAAACCTGAGGGTGGGGTCATGGAATGTTTTGGGACAGAATCTGGGTAGTTTGAAAACCCAGAATTTGTGAAATGGCATAGTATTATCTTAGTTACTGTGGTGGCACACGCCTTTAATCCCAGCACCTGGGAGGCAGAGACAGGCAGATCTCGTTCGAGTTCAAGGCCAGCCTGGTCTACATAGTGAGTTCTGGGACAGCTGGGGCTACAGGCAGACCCTGTCTCAAAAAGACCAAAAAAAAAAAAAAAAAAATCTCTATGAAAGCCATGAAGGGAAGGTTTTTTTTCTGGCTCTGGTTCAAGGCTATAGATTGTCATTAAAGAGAAGTCACAGTGGAGGAGCTTGGGGCAGTTGGTCACATTGCACCAGTCAGGAAGTAGAGAGAGATGCAGGCTGGTACTCAGTTCGCTTTCTCCTACTGACACACTCCAGGATTCTAGCCCAGGGAATGGTACCACACACATGATGGGTCTTCCCACCTCAATACTCCCAGAGGCAGGGCCAGAGGCCTAGCTCCCTGGGGATTCTAGGTCTTCTCGAGCTGAGAATTGAGGTTAACCATCCTAAGTATAATACAGCATTAGTAGTATGAACTGGGCTCTGAAGTGAGGGCCGTCTTGTGGGACTGAGCCAAACCCCGGAAGAGACCAGAACAAAATGTAGTACACACGGTTGGTATCAGGAATCAAGGAATCAGAAGACATTCACATTTAGCCTAACATATTTTTGTGATATTTAATGTGTTGAACTACAAAGAGA